CAAATCTCACAGCTACCAGCAAATTCTGTGCAGGGATTAGGTTTCATCGTAGAAACCATGCAATCAGTTATAAAGGCAGCTGCAACAATTGGGCAAAGGTTCCGTGATGGCTTTCCTAGAACAGCTGGACCTGCATTTAACGTTACATCCCGTGAACCAGCTGCAGAAAGGTAAAGTTTCAAGGGTAAAGGAAAGTTCCTGTTGGGGGATCCAGGATCGAAAACCTACATATGGGAAAATTTTAAAACCGCGCTATTAAAAGCGTTTCCCGTAGTCAAAGACCGAACGAAGCTGGAGCAGAACTCTTTAGTAAATATCAGACGAACGTCGAAGATTTAACGGACTTTATTCTTAGAAAAATTCAAATATTTAATTTATTATATGGAAAAAGAGCGGATAGCGAATTAATTGAAGTGATTTTGCCGCGTCCATCGATCCTTCCATCGATTCAAGAAATCCCCAGACACTAGAAAACTTATTTTAGCTGGCCCGTGAAGTTTCAGAGCAGATGAGCCGACTGAAAAACACGCGTTCAAAAATTTCCGCTAGCATTCGAGGTTTTAACCTCAAGAGAAACCTTAAAGTAAACAGAATTCTTATCGGCAAGCGGGAAGATTGAAAAAAGCGATACCAAGAATACAGATCAGTCCAAAGCATTTGGAGAGTGCAGTTAAGAAGCATGGAGGTAAGAAAGGAACCTTCTAACTTCCTACCTCTATGGTAAGAAGCACTAGAAGCATAAGGGGCGAAAGCTAAGGATTTAAAGTAATCAGGGTGGCCGAGAAGAGAGCCCAGTCACCACCTGGGAAGCAAAATCTCTCGGAAATCAAAGTAAATATGATAGTTGTACAAAAGTTGGCCTTTCCAGAAATTCGTATTTTATTAAACAATGTCCCTACTACCGCTTTACTGGACACTGGAGCGCAATGCAGCTTTTTGGCGCAAGATTTCTTTAAGAAGAATTTTTGCCGTTACAAATTGTTTAAAACTACGGACAAAACGTAACTGCCGCCCAAGAAAAACTGTGTGTCTGTATGGGAAAAATAGGGCTGCACGAGCAAATAAAGAACAAGATACAAAAAGTAAATTTTCTGGTAGTGAAAGACCCATTAACTTCGGTTATTTTGAGGGTCGACTTTTTACGAGCAGCAAGCAAAAAATTACATTTTAAGAACTCTACCTTACAGGTGTAGATGAACATTGTTGAAGAAGAAGAGGAGGCCATGCCAGAAGTGGATCTAAACCATCTCCAGAAAGAGGAGAAAAGAAAATGGAAAAATTGATAAGACAATTTTGTAAATTATTCGATAAGCTGTATCGGTATGACCAAGTGAAAGAAGAGATATTAGAACTGCATATTAAGAAAATGCTAGCGAATAAAATAATTGTGCCGAGTAGCAGCTGCTATGAAAGGTAGTAGAAAGTCCGGTAGTTTTATGTAGAAAGAAAAATGGCTTCCCACCGTCAGATCTGAATTCATGAAGTTTCTCCGTTGATTACTGTAAACAGAATAGTTTAAGTAAATATACCACGTACCACGTACCCCCTACCTATAACTGATGAAATAATAAGAAAAATCTGTTCTACTAAGTATATGGCTACGCTAGACCTGACGTCAGGTTATTTCCAAATTGCAGTAAAACTCGAGTATGTCCAGAAAACAATTTTTATAATGAAGTCAGGCGTATATGACTTTTTCAGAATGGCGTTTGGCTTAAGCAGAGCTCCGGCTACCTTCCAGAAAGTCATGGATATCGTATTAAGACCCGTCTTAGGCAAAAATAGAGTCCTCTATTTAGATGATATAATTGTGACAAGTGAAACGATAGACGAACATGTTAAACATCTGGAGGAAGTTTTTACGTCATTAAATGAAGCCAGCCTCAAGGTGAATCCGAAGAAATCTTTAATGAAGCAATCAAAAATTCGGATGTAGCGAGACAGAAACAGAAAGTCTACTATGACAGGAATAGACGGGAGTAGAATATTCGGTGGGTCAAAAAGTTTTGAAAATAAAGCATTCCTTATCATCGGCGCCAGAAAATAGAGTCGCAAAATTTGAGCCCAGGTTGGAAGGGCCTTTTGTTATTGAAAGGATCCGTTTATTTAAAGGCTGCAATGGTCAGGAAATAGTTGTTAACGTTGACCCAATTAAACCCTATTATAGTCAAAATGATTTTGATATCTTAAAAGATGTATTGCAGGATCCTGGAAGCGTGCCAAGAACTCTGATTAGCCAAGCAACAAACTGGAATTCCCCAGCAGAAAAACGGAAACAAGCACATTTCTGGAGAGCGTGGGAGGAGATGAGCTAAAATGTGTGTGAATGAAATCTGTTTGAAGACCTAATAAATTGTATTTGGAATGGAATTTTTTCTTAGAAACAAGTACTAATGCCTTTTCTTTCCAGATATTTTGGAAGGACCAAGCTATGCATAAGTCTGATGATGTCATCAAGATGAAGAAGATGTATGTGCTAAGCAAGAATGTTGTATTTTTTTTTTTTTTTTTTTAGTCCAAAGGGATTTGAATCCCGAACTATTAGTTTCGTTTTGGCATTTTGCGTCGGACTCATAAATGTCGGTTCACTTTTCAAACTGTTGCCACAAAATGTTAGAGTCCTGCATTATATTTGAAGAAATTAAATAATGAAAAATCTGCATAAATGTATGTATATTTCTCGTATTGTGATAAAACAACGGTACATAGAGTCATCGAATTTTGAATAACGTAATCCTCCAACGAATATGAGCATGTGGAAGACCAAATTTGAAATTTGAAATTTGTTTTATGATCGATTTCCTATTTTTTAAAACTTTGAACGAATTTTTGATTAACAAACTCAAGGATTTCAAAGCGAGCAATAGGCAACGTTGTGCAGAAAAAAAAGCATTTTTATCTCCAGCGCGTGAGTCTCTGTATCGGAAATTCTAAAGATATGCTCGTTTTAAAACTATTTTGCGATATTGCTGTTGCACTGGATCTTATGGTTTAAGTGCGAGGAACATGATATTTAATAAAGAAAGGTAACACAAAAAATGTTAAAAAACGCCCCTTTGGACGTAATTTAAAATCTGAAACATTTCAGATTTTTTTTTTTTTTTTTTTTTTTTTTTTTCTTTCTTTCTTTCTTGGTTTTAACTTATAGCTTTACATCATTTGTAGAGTTGGCCCTAACAGGAAGAATACAATAATGACAGTGATTTAAGAAAGCAAAGTATTAGAAATTAAACTTCTAATGGAAGTGTGAGGAAGTTTTTTAGAATTTGAACTCTTAAAGAAGTTCGTTGTGAAAACTTTTTCTTCGAGTATTTAAATTCTGGTTGGGAAAGATGTACGATTTATCCTAATTTTATAACATATAAGTAAGGTTTATCCTCAGTTTATAACACTTCACACACAAAAGTTAAAGTTTATAACACATAAGTTAAAGTTTCCTTTCCTATCTCTCCTAATTTCAGCTTACAATTCCTTACCAGAATGAATTTTTAGAATGAGTTAAATGCAAATGACTAGCAGGTAGCATTTAAGTTGAAGTTCCACTGACTTCGGTAGAGAGAATTAATTTAATTTCCTGAATAGCGCGCGTTTGCCTTTCGGCTACGTCTCTCTCAGCTGTTACTGCGCTAGGCCGTATTACGTGCCATTGATAGCTTAGCTAGCTAATTTAATATTAGGGCCAACTAGTTAGAAATTGTGTTAGCTTCGGCTAAATCTCTTTAGTTAGATATTAGTTAAGTTCCTATTTCTTTGAGTTTAAGCCCAAATGGAGGCTTTGCTGAGCGTTCTGAGGAGAAAGAGACCGCTTGTACACTTTTACTTTGAGCAATAAAGGGTAATTAACCCTTCCTGAGTTTTACGTTTCAGTTTCTGAACTTAAGTGATTATTCGCTTAGTTCCTCCAAACTTAGTTAATAGATAAAAGGGAGGATCACTACAATGTAACGCAGAAAATTCTGGCAATGGGAAAATAAGAGACAAATAATAAAACAATAAAGTAAAATATAAGCATACATAAATATCACAAATAGAACATTAAAAATCTGATTGGTGAAAAGAAAATGTAGCAACGAAAAGAGAAAAGTTGGCGAAATATGAATATCAGAAACAATAAAGATTGCCTACAATTAAAAAAAAAATAGAATTTTATAATTCTCACAGGGTCATCAGTCGTAGAACCACCGGCTGGTTAGAAGTTCCACATATTTTTAAACTCAGATCGCTTACGCGAGGTTGCTGTGCAGAGAAAAATCATGCTAACATAATAAAGAATAAATCATCAACAACTACATAAATTTAATTAATTATTATTGATTGTTGTTGTTACAGTAAGCTAGATTTCATGAAGCTCTATATAGCATAGTTAAAAAATAAAGTATCTCGGAAAACAGAATGCATTTTTTTGTAATTAAGAATCAAACAACACATTCCCCGCACCTTTAAAAACAGAGCTTCATCCCTCCTTCAGCTCAGTTAGGACTATCTGGGAGCCTACCTTCCTAAATTTTAAGCAGGGAAAAAATGCTCTATTTCCCCACCACTCATAGAATAATTTTTGAGGTCTCATAAATCCTAAAGCTCAGGTCTAAGTGGTAATACAGGCCTGCATTTTATATTTCAGGATATTATCTGCAAATTATAATGTTTATATTTCACACTGAGAACTGCATATACATGATTCAAAAATGAGAACGCAATATTCCGATCAATTCTAATTTTCTCACTGTTTTATATGAATAAACAGGCCCAATTCTTTGGGATCATAAGGATTTTGTTTCTTAGTTATAAGCTTTATATATACAAATTTTCATCCTGCTTTGACAATTTCTTCCAAGCAGCTTATTTACTTAATTTTAATATTTTCCTAAACAGTGTATTTTCAAATTAACTTCAGTTTATAATAAAGGATATTTTTGTTTAATTATGGTAAACTTATCAGTATCAGAATTTTTCTCAAATATCTGAAACAATAAATTAAAAATGACGCAAAAATTATTTACCTTCAGAAAAATAAAATGCTCTTGTCCCATCTTGTCTTACATAAAAATTTTCACTCAACTTATGACCAGGACCAAATCTTAGCATAGCTTGATCATAAAGCCCATAATCACGAATAAGTAGTAATCCTCCTGGTTGTAACACCTAAGCGAATAAAAGTCTATTTCAGTGACAGAATAGTTTGTACATAATAAATCTATAATATTCTATTTACTACAAGTCATGTGATCATTTCAAATATGTATAGCCACCTCAAATAGATGAATCATATAATTTAATTTCTTTAATTATAGAGTGCAAGGCTCTAATATTTGGTGGCAACGATTTGAAATGTGAAACACCGTTTATAGTGAACCAACATAAAATGCCAAAATGAAATTAGTAGCCCTACTGGGCAAAGTGCTCCTTTGGGCTAAAAAAATAAATAAATAAATAAAGCTTTCTGATTTTATATTATGCCCAAGGTGGCTCATTTTTAATCTTTTGTGTGTTATCTTTATTTATTAAATATCATGTTCTTTGCACTTAAACCATAAAATTCAATTCAACAGCAATATTAAAAAAAAAAAAAAAAAAAAAAAAAAAACCTCGCGCATGAAACTTTCGTGCTTGAAGATGCACGCGATGTTAATGTTAATGGAACGCTTTGAAATCGTTGAGTTTGTTAATAAAAAATTCGATAAACTTTTACAAAATATGAAATAGATAATAAAACAAATTCCAGATTCCAAATCTGGGCTTGCAGTTGCCCATATTCGAGTGGAGCACTACGTTATTCAAAATTTCATGCCTCTAGGTACCGCTGTTTTTTTACAATATGAGAAACATATCCATGCATTCATGCAGATTCTTCATTATTTAACTTTTTAAAATATAATGCAAGGCTCTAATATTTGGTCGTAACGATTTGAAAAGTGATTCAGACTTTTATAAAAAAAAAAAAAAAAAAAACGCAAAATGCCAAAACGAAATTAATAGCCTTCTGAGCTACCGCTCCTTTGGGCTAATAAAATATATAAAAATAAAATTTAATCTAATAGAAATAGTCTCTTCTAATAGAAACAATCAGCTTGATTCCCACTAAAATTTATGAAATATAATCTAATAGAAATAGTCTCTTCTAATAGAAACAATCAGCTTGATTCCCACTATAATTTATGAAATAAAATTATTATACGACTTCTTGACCATAACACTTAAAACTTGCATGTGCTCTTATAAATACTGTAACGAATTTTGTATTTAGTTAGATATTTTTAGTAGAATTATAATTAAAATTGTTTTATTTCCCTGTGCAATGCCAGCACGAGACATATCATGGCCAACTACAATGCCACTTGTGTAAAACTACGCACTTGCAGTTTTGTTTGCGACTACAGCAGCATGCTTTGCATTCTGACAATTCAATAAATAGTTAAACTTCATAAATGTTTATGTTTAATTGATCATCGCAAAGCACAACGCATCTGCATCCATTCGACATTTAATAAACAGATATCTCGTAATTGATATTTTATTTGAATAAGTGTAATTGACTACTATGTTAGCTGTAACCGTAATTCTACTTTTTTTGCTTTCCAGAAACTGCTAGAATCTCAAGCGACCGATTTAAAGATATAAAAAGGCCAAACAGAGAACATCTCATTTTAGTAGTTGTTTATTAGTTGTTGTTATTATTGCTGATCAGATTAGCTTTCTCTGCGTGTTGGATTGCGTTCTATTTAACGCTTTAGTAGCTTAAAACATAGCGGGGAAAGTGCAGAATCGCCCACTGCTTGGCGCATTTTTAAGAATTGCACATACTTGGTATCTATGTACACACCGAGCTACTTTCACTTAACATCCCAGAATTGCACAAAAATGGCATTGCGCACTGCCTTGACTTCACCCATGTACACATTGACCTATTTTCACTTAAAAAGTCAAAGGAACTTGACAAAAATCCAATTTTTCTTACTCTTGTAAAAAGCGCCAAACAAACGTCAATCAAATAAGTGGGCGATTCTGCACTTTAGCCAATATAGCTACTAATTATATTGCGTGATATTATACGAATACCTTTGAAGGAAAATCCAGCGTTTTGTTATATTTCTTGTTATAAGAATAAATTTTATTAACCATTTATCGGACTTGGGTGCTACTTTGGTAGACGGTTGCACGGATTTTGGCGATTTTTTTTTTTTTTTTTTTTTTTTTTTTTTTTTTTGGCGAGCTATACGACTTATGGTAAACTCATTGCTAGACAAGTTATTTATGATAATCGATATTTTGTTGTCATTTTATTGAAAAAATAATGTGTTTTGTTATGAATAAATTCCGTTTTTAAATATTATTTATGGCTTCTATTAAAAATAAATTTAATTTTGCATTTTTATTTGAAATAAAAATTTCACTTTTTATGATATTTTATTTAATTTTATGTTGTGGATGATGTAATGAATGACGTCACATTACTTTAAAAGTAATTAGTTTTAATATCTTTAAATTTAATCTAATGTTTTAAACATTATTTATGGCTCTTAAATATTAAAATACAATTTAATTTTGCATTTCTTTTTTAAAATAATTTTATTATGTATGATTATTTAAATAATTTTAATTCTATTCGTGATGTAATCAGCTCCCTGATTGGTCACAGAATATTTGGAATTAACGAGCTGTAATCAACTCCATGATTGGTTACTGAATATTTGTGCATAACCACATTTTAAAATTTTATTATTCATCTCTTCGAATTCCTTAGATTACATTTTTCAATTTTTTTTCCTTAGATTACATTTTAAAAATTGGAACTACTTTGATATGCTCTCTCAAGTCGCCAAATTTCTCGCCAAACATTTTTGGCGAAAAACTCTATGCTGCCATATTACTATCTAAATTTTTCATCTACATTTCGAACATTAAGCCTAAAATGTCTCCAAAAACACGGTTTTCGCACATGCAGAAACTATGTTTTGAACACACAATTTAAGCTAAAAATCCGAAACAAAACATTTAGATAGCAAAAATGTAAAGTTTCTAAAAAAAAATATTTTTCAAGAATCCATGTATACATAGATATGTTTTAACTTCAAAATCATCTACAAATGGCACAAACTAGGCAACGAACGAATCTACGAACAACGCACACCTCGCTTTAATAAATTAACATAACAACAATAAATTTCAAAGAACACCATGTACACAGCATCCTGTTTCACTTAAAAAAACATCTACGAATTGCACAATTTAGGCAACGAACGAATCTACGAACTACACACCTTGCTTTAATAAATTAACGTAACAACAATAAATTTCAAAGAATGCCATGTACACAGAGTTCTGTTTCAACTTTAAAAAACATCTACGAATTGCACAATCTAGACACTACGCACCAATCAACAAAATAAACTAAAATAACTAAAATAAATTTCAAACAATTCAAAAAAAAACAATGACGACAGAAATTCATACTAAAAAAACAATGAACATAACATTCTACAAAATAAGAACAAGAATAAAATAAAATGCACTTACCATGAATTAATGCTTTTTCGAACAGCCGAAATATCAATTTCATACCGCCACATTATCATTATCGTATTTATACGACAGTCAGTGATTATGTGTGTGGAAAGAGGGTTTGGGGGGCAACGCCTATGTATTTTGCCGCTCGGTGCAATTTCTGGCAGTCATCTAAATTTTGATATCTGAAAAGTCCCTAAATTCTTAAAAATTTGCCGTCCCGAAATTCAACTATCCGGTGCCTGTCCTAAGTTCTAAAAATTCTGTTATACTTAATTTTTGCTGCTTGGCGCTCCTGTAAATTATAAAATTTTTGCCGACTCTAAGTTCTGAAACTCGATGCGGCCGAACGTACTCTGACGCCGGCCCTTATTAACATACTACTTTAATTATCGATATATTTATTACCTTATTGAGCAAATTCAGTAATTTTTGGTGCACACATATAAGCTAAAAAAGAATTAAGAAATCCAGTGCTATAATAATAACAGTCATGAGCTACATATGATAGAAAGTAGGATATAATGACATACATATACTCACAGAAGGTATCCGCCGAAAACGTCGCGGAGAAAACAAAGCAAAGCGAAAACGTCGTGGTAGAAAACATTGCGGAAGAAAATAAAGCAAAGCCAAAACATCGTGGTAAAAAATATCACAATCGAAAATAAAGCAGTTAAAAAACTTTTAAGTTTAAAAAAAAATTGTCATTTTAAATGTGGTAAAAAATAAAGAACCTACGAATCATTTCATGAGGATAACAAAGCAGACATGCGTTTTTCAGGCTTTAATAATTGTAAAAGAATACTCACATAATGAGATGAAAAGAAGTACAATTTTTACTGTCATATTTTTATTAACTAATAAATATTTGCTGAAAAGTAAAATTAATGCAGTTTATAGCACTAAATAGAATTTTAAACTGACATAGTTAACTAACAAAGGTAATTAATAAATTATTTTTATAAAGTTTAACTGTTAATTTTTCATGAAAAGTATAATATAAACAAGAATAGAAAAAGGTAACTGCATGACCTTATCTATAAAAAAATTGCTAAGTTAATTATGAGATTACTTTCTTCACTTTTGTTAATCTGATACTCTTATAGTGAAAATTATTTCTTGTTTTGTTTAAATTTCTTGTTCTGTTTTTTAAAAATTTATTTGTAAATAAAAAATCTGAAAGTAAAAATTATCCTTTTTTCCATCTTGCGCTCACAAATCATTATGCGAATATCCATTTACAATTATTAAAGCCTGAAAAACGCATGTCTGCGATGTTATCGTCACATGATGATTTGTAGGTACTTTATTTTTTACCACGATATTTTCGACGACGATGTTTTTAAACTGCGAAGTTTTTGAACATTGATTTGATTTGATATTTTCGACGATGATATTTTGTACCACGATGTTTTTGAACTGCTATGTTTTTTCTTTGCTTCATTTTCTCCCACGATGTTTTGGCCATGCGTTGTTTTCACTGCGAAGGTTTCGGCTGTGACCCTCACATAAAATCCTCTTAGTTAAGGATAAAAGATCCTGGCAAACTCCAATCCATTCAGTGATCTATTAGCAATTAGAAACTAACGCTCATTTTGCCTGAATACATTCATGTTGAATAAGAATTTAGAATAATGAACATAAATTGAAGGGCTATCATTCTCAGTCAGTCAGCCACTGATGAGGAAAAATTAATCCTTTACAAAATGCAGTAGGTTAATAGACAAAACAACTGCTGAAACATTAAATGTAGTATGTAAGTAATCATGTAGCATGCAATCAACCACTTTGTTATTTTTTAGATGGTGGCACAGAAAATGGTTTGTTGTTTTAATAATTTTTTCCCTCGTTCTTTCATTGTTAATTCTAATTTAAAAATAGAGCTTTAAAAGTGGTAGGTTGCATATTATATAATTAACTAAGATTTTTAACCAGAAAGAATAATGACCGCTTCGCACTTGGGTGGATACAGATGAAATTATCTATAATAAGCCCTTTTTTTGGGGGGGGGGAAATGCTAATATAGAGCTGTATTATCAATAACTGATCCGGCTAATGAAAACTACTTTTACAAAAAGACTTATACCAGCTTACTATTAGAAACTCAATATAGCAGAGAGTGGTTACTTGCATGCATGAGAATAAATAATACACAGCATACCTGTTGGGAGTTTGGAACACAAGTGAAGTTTTATTGGAGTGCACAGTTATAGAATATAAAAAACAGTGGCGCCATCTATGGGCCAAGAACATATTTAAAGCTAACCTTTTTTACACTCCCACTTTAGGTTTAAATATCATCCTAATTAAATACAATGAGAAATTACACCAAACTCTTGGATCAATTTCACACATATCTATTAATGAGTTTTTGTTTTATTCTGTGTTTTGCGTTTGTTACTAATTTTTTTAGCAGGAGCGTATAATAAAGTGCATGCTTTTTCCAGATGCCTAAGATTATAAAAATAATTAAGATTATAATTTGGTACTGTTTTGTCTTGTATGGTTTAATACATCTTGGCTATATAAGAATACTCAGTGAAAGACTCACACTTTGATACATAAGCTGCACATATACAGTGTAATTGTTCCTGCAGAACTTAATCAAAATGGCTCCTTTACTTTTAATTACTGCTTTTTTATGATATACACTGAGATCACGTAGTCTACAAATATGATAGAAAAAAATGCACAGTTAAACTGCTTTACACATGTTTATTGACAATGTTTAAAATTTGTCCATTTCAAAGAGATATATTTTCTTGACTTTTATTATTATTATTATTATTTTTCCCCAAATAGTAAATGTTTTTAAAATGCATGAGAAAAATCACTGAACATTCTTTTCACCTTAAGAAAAGATTACTGTTAGTACAATTTTGGCAATGCTTAATATTAATTAGCAAAATTTTGCATCTACAATAGCAAACTTTATTGGCCATTTAAAATTTTGCTTATCATATAAAACAAAATATTAAGAAACAGTAATTTATTACCTTGAATATATTTTTCAGTGTGAAAGACATTTTACTAGGATGTATAGCTGACAGTACAAATATCATGGTAGCTATGTTCACTGAATCAGGTGAAATGACATTGTTTAACTCTTCTTTTGTTACATCAATGACAAATGCATGGCATATATCTGAGTTATAAAGAGCATTTTCCTGAAAACAAATTCATATATAAGATAAAATAATATGTATACATATATGTAAGATATAACAAAATACGATAGCTACTTTCAGAATAATTGTCGACCTCAAAATGAACTATTCTAGATTTTATGCTTTCCCTCTAAATTTATCTGTTCTTCCAAATTCGAAATCTTTCCATGTTATATAACACTGTTTGAAAAATGTAACTAAAACTAAAATTAACTAATTATAGCTTGTCTCTACAATTGCATCTACTTCGGTATAAATACCTCTAGCAAGAAACTACATCATTCCTTTCCTAGCTTTTGTCACTGCTAAAATATCCCCGCTGCTCTGCTTGTTCGTCTAAAATGATGTCGCCCCTGTTAACCTGTGTATATAAGAAATTATTGTAATTGGTTATGATAAAAAGTATATTGTCTACGAAGAATTATTCTAATGTGCCTAGAAATAAAGATGGTAATTAGTTGAACTTAGTTTGGTATCATCTTCTTCCCGTTTCGCCACTCTGCCATCACGACAAATGCATTAAAATATCATAGCTAAATAAAAAGTTGCCCAGGATATGTACCTGTTGCCTCAATTTCCAGTGACTGCAAAAGCAAGAAAGTGCTCATCTACTGAATGAAATGTTGTCTTCTACGTCGTCAAAGTAGGTCAAGATTATCGATCAAACGAGTGAGTGATGTGTTACGCGTCTCAGCGATTTTGTGTGTTTGCGCATAGTGAAAAATGTCTTCTGAAAGATTCTAACGGTGTTTATAGTGAAAAAAGTGTCAGAGAGTGTTCAAGTATTGGTGCTTCCAAAAAACAGTGTATTTGGTGCAAATTCATAGGGAAAAGTGTGTTTTAATGTAAATTTTTCAATGTTACGATATGTACAAAGTGATCCAATATCGTGATCGGTGCTTCCAAAAAAAGCAGTAGTTAGTGTTAATTCTCCAGAAATTTCAGTGCAAAGTGATTAGTGTGGTTTAGGTTCGTGTTTTGGTGAAAATATTTCAGAAAAAGTGTATCATGATTTAGATTTAATTATTGTAAATTCTCAATGGTGTGTTGTATTAAATATGCAAACCTTACAAACAAACCTTCCAATCTAAACCAAAAATGTCTACAGAAAAAAGTGAAATTGCGCAAAAGTCATTGGTGTTTTCTGAATGTTTGAGAGAAGCATTGTCATTTTATCTAAGACAGTGTGTCGAATTAGATTGGAAAGCCTTAAAAGGTAAATTTCTCACATATTACTCCAGTGCAGAAACCGTCATTTAAGACTTTGTTAATTGCATTTACTCTAAATTCAATGACATCGACAAGTACTTTCATCAACAAAATTTTGAAAGACTTTTTAATGAACATTTACTTTTTGAAAACATTTGAACATTTACTTTGTGAATTATTTTCGTCAAGACACTACAGAAAATTTTTCATTGGACATTCAAAAGACATTAGACATTTTAACAACTTGAGGACTTTAAAAATTATAATTGTCTTAATTTATTATTTAGTTTATTAGGAAATTATATGGTTATTGTAATAATTGTAAATTAGTTGCTTAAATATTACATAATCTGTATACAAGAAAGGTCATGATTCATGACAGGGCATAGGAAAACCCGCAGGCTATGTCCTTGATGCTTCCTCATGTCTTTTCTCATAGGACAAATTTTCTCTTGCTTCCCTTTAATATTAATACTTTTTCTGCCCCCTGCTCTCCCAACCTTTCTTTTGAAGGGAGGATATGTAAAATATAGCAAAATACGATAACTGCTTTAAGAATAATTGGCGACCTCAAAATTAACTATTCTAAATTTTATCACCTTATCCTAAATTCATCTGTTCTCCCAAATTCGAGATCTTTCCATATTATATAACATTGTTTGAAAAAGGTAAATAAAACTAAAATTAACAAATCATAGCTTGTCTCTACAGTTGCATCTATTTCAGTACAAATATCTCTATCAAAATTTTCCCTTCAAAATTTTGAACTTTGTATCAGCCTAATATAAGAACTAACCAATCATCGTGAAGCAAACACGAACTGACAGTCAGTCTACCATTTTACGCAGTCAGCTCTCTGATTATTTATACATGTTTTGAGGCCTAAGGTGAAGCAGACACAACCATAAGAAAGGAAAAGATTCAAGTTACAGGGAAGTAGAAATGAAGGGTTCTTATTAGGTACTGTAATTTTAATAACTACATATTCTTAATGGAATGTACATTTCTTTTAATGAAATAATATTATGGTAGTTACCTATAATACTGGGTGTCCGTAAAAGAATGTCTGAGTTTTAATGGTATATTACAGGAGTTTATTTTATACTAAATATAACAAATCATACATGAAATTGAAGGAAAACTAACCTAGTTTTTCCTATAAGTGCTCAATGTGTGCACCTTTAATCATACAGCACACATCCAAATGAAAATGCAATTCTTCCCATACTGTCTGCAGCAAGTCCGGAGTAATGGAAGCAACAGCCTGTGCAATTCTACCTTTCAAGGTTGGTAAATCGTGGGGTAGGGGTGGAACGTAGACCCGATCTTTTATGAAGCCTCAAAGGAAGAAATCACAAGGCGTGATGTCAGGTGAACGAGGCAGCCAGGGTAACAGAACTCTGTCGTCTGGACCGTGATTGCCCAATCCAACGGTCAGGGACTTCGACGCTTAACCAAAGACAAAGACTCCAATGAGGAGGGGCTCCATCTTGTTGCCAAATTAGGTTTGCAGGTTCACTTTCTACTAATTGTGGGAAGAGCCATTGTTGTAGCATATCCAGATAAGAAACCCCTGTTAATGTAGCTTCAGCGAAAAAAAATGGTCCGTACACTTGTCATTGTGAAATAGCACAGAAAATGTTTATTTTTGAAGAATTTCTTTCGTGTTGTACAAGTTGATGAGGATTTTCTAAACCTCATATACGAACATTATGGGTATTTACCTTCCTACTTGTATGAAACGTCGACTCATCACTGAAAACCACATGATGGAGAAAGTCATTGCGCCGTTGAAGAACTTCACATGCAAAATGAAATCATACTGCACTATCATTTGGCTTTAATTGCTGTACCAAATGTAATCGGTATGGAAGCAAGTGTAATTTTTTTTTTTTTTTTAAATCGTCCAGACTGTCGGCTTTGGCAACTGTAGTTCATGACTTGCTTTTCGAACAGATTTCTGCGGACTACGGAGGAAAGATTCTTTTACACGTTCCACATTCTCTACAGAAACTTTGAGTCTACCCGGGCTTTTACCTTTATAAGGACATTCGGTCATTTTGAATTGTCGATACCATCGGCGGATATTTCTGTCACATGGGGGATCACATTTAAACTTTAATCGGAACGCACGTTGAACGGCAATTACCGAAATCACTCTTAACAAATTGCAGAACACAAAACGCTTTACGCTCAGAAGTCGTCATTTTGAATAGATGATGCTGCAACTGTGAAAATGATGTAGCGGTACAAGCGCATGCGCTTATCTGAAACTGTTGGAGTTATTCTTTATTCGTCACCTTCAACCACAACTGCCGAACGATTACAGCTGATACTATTACAATTTGAAACTCAGACATCCTTTTACGGACACCCTGTATATCCCTCATTACTTTCCGTTTGTTATGGTCTTGTTGTAATCGTATCTTTTGGAAATTAAATTATTCACAGAATTTCCCCCTCTCGGTTTTTGGACGATAAAATTGATCATAAAAGGAAAAAAAGACACAAAATACGGCATATACACTCTTTTGCAAAAAAATCGAAGCACCAAGAAAGACTTTTGGAATCGTGATGAAATTGGTATGCAAAAACATCTTGATCGAACATGCAAATGGTGAAAGTTTCAAGGCAAATGAACAGGAATTGCGATCATAGCGCACATTTCTAGTGCTCAATTCGTAAAGTATAAAACCACTAACAGAGGCGGAAAATTTATCTTTTTTTTTGTTGCTGCCATTGTAACTTCGTAAAGAAGCAACTAAAGATGCCATATCCCTGATATCGAAGACCTTACAGACAACTAAATGACTTCGAAGGTGGTTACATTGTAGGGTTGCGTGAAGATGGGTGGGCACACCGAGCAATAGGCCGCCACATTACTTTCCGTTTGTTATGGTCTTGCTGTAATCGTATCTTTTGGAAATTAAATTATTCAATTAAGGTTCTGGAAGGCCAAGGATCACAAATGCGAGGCAAGATAGGATAATTGTTCGCCAGGCCCGAACCGCCCTACGGTATCATTGTCGACTATTCAACGCACTACAGCCACGTCTATACCTCCCGTGGTACAGTTCACCATCTCACGGCGGTTGTCTGAGGCGGGTTTACACTCACACAGGCCTTTAAGACATTTGCCTTTGACCCCACAACATCGGCGGAGTCGTCTGGAGTGGTGTTGCGGCCGATTATCATGGATGCCATTAGATTGGCATCGTACAGTGTTTAGCGACGAATCCTGCTTCTCTCTTAAAGCAGATGACCACCATGTTTGTGTCTAGAGAGGACGGGGTCAGCGGTCCCAATCAGCCTTTGTTTTACAAAGACATATAGCCATAACTCCTGGGGTGATTGGGGCGCTATTCTTATGACAGCAGTCATCCTTCGCACATCTTGAACAGCTCAACGATATGCTGATAACATCCTGCGGCCGGTTGCGTTACCTTTCATGGCACGTCATCCTGGGGCCATTTTCCAACAAGATAATGCCAGGCCACATACCGCTCGCATATCTCTGGACTGTCTCCGTGCGGTTGCTACTCTTCATTGGCCAGCAAGTTCACCAGACCTTTGACCAATCGAGCATGTCTGAAACATGGTAGGCCGCCAGATTCGGGCACCACAAAATATCGCAGATCTGGAGCGACAACTGATAAATGCCTGGCAGAATGTGTCGAAAGATGACATTAGGAACCTCTACCACTCCTTGCCTCGACGAATTCAAGCATGCATTGCCGCCAGGGGCGGTTCGACCAACTACTAATTTGAACACTCAGTGGGTGACTGTGAGC